ACTGACATAGATAACTGCATATTGCTAAAAACATTGGATTTAATTTGGTGGGTACTGAGATGTGCCTGGAGTCTGCCAAACCACCACTTAGCTGAAATCACAATTAATCTGAGAAACTTATTCTGTCAAAGACATTATAGTCTCAAATATTCCCAAACCCCTCAAGTCAGGGCATGGATATCTAGAGATACAAGTTTCTTGAAGAACTGACTTCTCTCTTTCTTTCCTTTTCCTTCTAGGTAAAACCAAGTATTGTTAGTGACTCACAGTACACATTACTCAAAGCACAATTAAGTCAGATCCCATTGTGTGTGTATACACACTGTACAATCTCAAATTAAAGGTATAAAATGTGGATTATTTTTTATTGTCATTCATTTACTTGTTATGTCTGTTTCCAAACTCTTAAATTACAGCTCAGCGTTCTCAAATTGTGGAAGTGATGATACAATACTACAGATTGAAGTCTTTGGCACAGGATCCCATAGTGATCCACAAGAGTAAGCCAAAAGGTTCAGGAAACAGTGATACAAAATCTGAGTATTAGTTGGTAAATGACTTGGATATTTTTGTGAATTGTCTTTAGAAACTGACCACCAGCTCTGTGAACTCCAGCAACTGACTCAGCTGTAAAGAAAAAAAGAACAAGGAAAAAAAAATGAATAAGAAACAAAAACCCCCACAAAATCCACCACCACCACAAACCCTCCAAACCAAAAAAAACAAGCCAAGAAAAAAAAAGAAAAAAAGAGAAAAAAGAGCAAGAAAAAGAAATCAACAAGAAAAATAAAAGAACAAGTACCCCTTACTTATCCTTTTTTCTTGTTCAAAGCCAGAAGATTATGCATTAATCATTACATTAAGGTAGATTTGTGTGAGATGTAACACTAGGTTTCTAAGTCATATGAAACCATATTTAATGCTGAACTGCTTTCTCATACTTGTTTTTCACATAGTTCTATAGTTCTCTCTACTAGCTCTTCACCTTATTTGTCATTCAATTCGTTTGTCTGCTTCATTTCTCTGGTAGAGGTGCATTTTCACATCATCAATTAAAAGCACAAGTATCTACACTTAATAGTCCATGTAAAATTTACACCTGGCAATAAAAATTCTTCAGGTTAGCAACTGATCAAATGAACAGGAAGAATTACTTTATTGGCTGTAACCAATAAGAATGCATTTGTAAAACCTAGAGGCAAATACAATTCAATTTAAAATAATCTATCCTAAACCCTGACCACTGAACTTTCAAATTACAGTCTCACAGATTTCTACTTGTTCATTTTTCTTCATAGACTGATTCATTTCCCTTCCATTTCTGGTGTGTATCTTACTCTGTAACTTACACAAGGTTAGAATTATATTCAGAGATACGCATTTTTGTGGTGGGGTCAAGTGGGAATTCAGATATATATGTTTTATGTAAAGGAATCTTGACCTCCTCAGCATGATGTCAACAAGTACTGCTGTGCATACAAAGCAAACTGGTATAAGCCCATTTTTCTTTAAAACATTACAGCAATTCTTAAAAATGCTTCCTACAATGAAAGATGTTGGAGTTTGAAGGTAATTCCTGTATTTACTTCTTTTTATTCTGTTCTTGAGCTTCAACATTTCATGTGCACTGTTCTGAGCAACACCAACACAGAATGGAAAAATATATTTTTTCATTTCAATATAGTTTTAATCATGTAATTACAGGAAAAACATTGAAACGGTTTTTATGGTGTTATCTACTTCAGCAACTTAGAAGGATATGATGTAACAAACCAGTTACAAACTTAGAGACATATTTACATTATATACTCAAAGTAACAAGCTAGATTCATATTCTTTACGCAAACACCTATGGGATGAGTTAATTAAATTATACATCATTTAGTAAACACAAATAGCAGTTGAGGTTTAATGGAAACAATATACACATGAGGCACTTTGAGGTCATTAGGGTGAAAAGCATATGGCACCAAGCAAAAGAAGAAAAACCATGTACAGCTTATACCACAGCTTTAAACATGAAGGCTGCTTTTTCACCAAATGCTTTAATTTCTTTAACAAACCACAACTTTTGCAATTAAGGGAAACTTTCAGAGGGGAAAAAACCCCCAAAATCAAAATCCAACATCCTCCTCAACCCCTCTTAATATTTGTAAATGCACCAAAGTAAACAAGTTTTATCCACCCAGCTGCTGGACTAATAGTACCATAAGGCATCTTGTTAAAGTTCTTGGGGTTTTTTTGCCAGCCAGCAATCCTGATCTTCATTTTACTAATATGAATATATAGCTGTACTGGCTGCACATTGTGCCATAAGCTTGGAAAAGATTTAAAGTCTAATTTAAACCTGGGCATTATTTACATAAGTGTTCAACATCACCCTTCCGATATACACAAACATATCATTCTGAGGAGAACTCATCCAAAATGGGAATGTTATATTCCAGCACGTACAATTACGGCATTCTTTAAAATACATTTGCTTCTCTAGAGGAAACTGCATTGGTTAAGACTGAAACTTCTATAAGCTCTCAAAGAGTTTTATGATGTCGTGCTGTTTACTAAACAGTTACCATAATAATTGTAGATTATCACTAGATATTGCTTTAACCATGCACACAGCTGTTGGTGTATCCTTCACAGCTACTGAATTTCATGTGTGAGAGCACACACCCACCTGTGCATACTCACAACTTGATTTGTATCACAAAAGACCAAATTCCCTTGGCACGAGCATCAAAACTCCATCCCTTTGCTGTGGGAAGAACTTCAAGAGGGGAAATACATAAAATAATTATAATAATAAACCCCTTTTCTTAGAAGCCCAATGACACAATCAAAAGAACTTTCATTTCATTCCTGGTTCTTATGCTCCTGTAACAGGCCATCACAACAAATTTAAACCTAACAAAATATATAGTTAAAGGATTTTTACTTCAGTATTAATAATGCAGCTTAAGAGGCACGGTGAGCTAAAGCATCCCAGTCAGACTGCAAATGAGCATTGTGTAAATTCATGGCTAAAGCATACCCTAACCGCGTGCCTTAAGCCGCGCACGGACAGCCCGTTAACTGCGGCGTCACCAGGAGCGGCGCCTGAGGCCGCCGAGCTTTCCCCAGCAGATGGCGCCCGAGCGCCGCGCTCCCTTACCTCCCCCTCCCAAAGGGGAAACGATTTTCACCGTAACCGAGGCTTTCAACGAGCGAGGGACCTAACATTCAGCGAGGCCTCCAAAGGCTCGGGTCCCCTCCAAGCAGCACAAAGCTCTGCTACTACATGCCTGACAAAGTACAGCTCGGATGTTAAGGGCAAGCATTATGGATCGGGGAAGAAATTTCTCTATTTCCAAATGCCCAAGAAAGTATTTCAGAAGAGATAGAAAGAATGTTACGTGCCACCAAAGCCAGAAGATGTATGGATGTAACAAGTTGTTCTGGAATGGGTTTACTTCCACTGCCTTCCACTGCTCATCTCCTAAATGTAACAGTGGGCGAGATCCCTAGCACCAGAGAAAAAGTACATGTGCATGCCACTAAAACCAAGCCTTATGCAACCTCGGATCTCTGCTTTTGTTTGGTCTCTCAAACCAGGCAAGCTAGCTGACACTTGCTGCACAACAGAACAAGCGAGCATGGGCCCATTCGGTAACCCGTTTTAGGTGATAGAAGTCTTCAAAGAGAAAAGCAAAAGGTGAAAACATTTTAGCAGCAAAGTGGTTAAATGCAAGGTGAAAATATTAATGCACACATTTAGTAAAAATATTAAAGTATATGTGTCATATAAAATACAGTACAGGACCAGGAGTTTCACTATGTTGTATAGTGCTCAGAGGAAATTGCTAAAACTAATTTCTTTCTGAAGTATATATACAGTGTGATTATATAGCATTTTCTTATACAGCCAGCAAGTTCTTTTCTTAGGTTGTTCATACCTCTCCACCTTCAATTAGGAACTTAGCACTTACAAATATTAATTTTCTCTCATTCACTAGAAAAACATCATTTTTTAATGAAAGTTGTTTTTAAAGTTAACAGTCTATTCTAGGCAAGCAAGTTTAGCTGAAAATGTGTGAAGCATGAAAACCAACCAGGGCAGCAGCTTTCAAATACATGAACAGTAAAAACCCAAAACCCATGACTGCTGCTGTGTCATATTCTTGGACTTTAGCCATCCAATCAACTCTTAATACAAAACTAGAAGCTCTTCCATAACTTCTATAGTTATCAAGATATTTGTCATCTTTTTCAATGTGAAATAATACTTTGAGATGATCTATGTACACAAGGTGGTCAAGTCAAGCTGTAATATAAATATAAATGTTTTCTTTTAAAAAGTATTTTACAGACAGATAGTTATATACATTTGCTCATTTTACTTCTGGGCTACAAAGGAAAATTAAGGGGCCAGATACATGCAAAAAAAAAAAAATTACACAAAATATATTGAAGAAATGCATGTAAGTGACAAAAGTAATGTATTTTTAAAATGAAATTATTTGGTTCTGTGTTTAAGAACAAGGGTATACTAAAGACAATCTGTCCCACTCCAGCCAAGATGTCAAACAGGCATGTTTGCTAATGAATTATGACTGTTTTTCAGTGTTTTACATGTTTTTAATAAGTAGTAAATGATTCTTATTTTATAACACAGCACAACACATGCACAACACAGCACATGTAATGCTTTTAAAAATTCTCTGTGGGTTAATTGATTATTTCTTACCTGAAAGTTAGACTTACTAAGTACAAAACCATTAGAAATACCATACACAATATACCAGCACTCATACACATACATACACACACACTCTGCAGCCTCCCTCCCCAGCCCTGACTTCAAATTTCCCCAATTAAGAAGTTCACTCAGTTTTGCCTGGGCTTTAATTTATTTCTCAAGCTAAGTCTTTTGTTGTTCTTTTTGAAAAAAACACACAGTACTTTTGTTCTTGCCCATTCAAATTAGAAAAAGTTGTGGTTCAAAATAATGAAAACAATTTCACTTTTGTTATTAATCTTTTGTTTTAATCATAGTACTTGATAAACAGCTGAACAGGATCCTAGTTTAACAGAAGGATAAACAAGAACACTGGTGACAATTTGTTACAACTGCCTTAATGTACCTTTTGCTTAATGAACATTTGAATATGCAAGAAAGTAATTTTGGAGGACACCCCAAAAGAAAACAACTTGCTGGTTGAACAACAGAAACAACGTCCTTTTTGCTATTATGTTGAAATCAAAGTCATTTATATATAAAAATAAATGTTATGTTCTAACAAGAACATTTTAGACAATTACATCTGTGCTTAACAACAAAAAAAATATTGGTCACTCAAGACTAGAATAATTAATATTTTAAAGGTTTTTAGATTATCAGAATGCATGGATACAACTCAACACAAACTGTAGCTGAAGGGAACCAGGACTGAAAATATCAATTTGTCCATCTGGAATAAAAATGCAACTAAATTAACTATTTAAAATACTACCATGGAATGTGACAGTAGATATGGTCCATACCTACTATATCGGAGGGAAGGAAAGTTTAACAAGTAATAATTCGTACCTTACACATTTAGTTAAATATAAACATTTGTTATTTATACATAAAGTTGCTTCCAAAAAACTATTAATAAGTGATTTAGTTGCACTTAAAATCAGTTTCATTTCTCATTTGCTGAGTATTAACTTTTCTTAATCTTAAATCAACTGTCACTAGTGCACTTTTAGTTAAAATTTCCCCTCAGATAAGTTTTAATCCTTTTAAAAGAGCCCCCTCACCTAAACCATGAATGTACAAAGTGGCAAAAGTTAATCCCTTTTAGTATAATCATAGTTTATATACTCATTTTATAGCCAATAATAAGAACAGGCTTTCCTTCGCAAAATCTCCTTCACAACTTGCAACAAATGCCACGCGCTCAAAGCAAATAGTTAGGCGTGGCTAGCACTTGTAAAATGCCAAGGTCTGACAAGTCTCGTTGCTTCCTCCACATCAAGCATCTCTTACGTGAAAGAAGATTCCCTTCAGCTTGCCAAAAAGCTTCCACAAATCCAATTTAGATGCTTCCTGGAAACAAAGATTTTTCAGCTCTGTTTGGCACAAGACTGATTCATCCCGCAGCTTTATGCTTTCCTCCACAGCACCCACACACCTCACCACAGTGATGGCATGCTCTCAAGGGGAGGTAGCAGCACATACATGGAGCAATGAACGAGAGCGCCACCAGTGCTAACCAGCGTAAGCAGAACTTGTCATCACTAGTGTCACACGAGCAAGGATCAGAGAAATCTCCTTCAGAGTCTGACATGCAGTGATACAGCATGCTCTCTGCGCAAAGCATGCAACTAACTTGGTAGATACATCTTTTAATAGGATCTGGCGCATCTTGACATTTTCCTCTGCCATTATCTTCATGATTAAACCTTTCCTGGCAGTATATACAGCGGGAACGCTCACCATCCTCTTTTCTTCTTTTTGAGTTTTTAAATTTTGACGAGGAAGGCTGAGTTTTAAATACCACAGAACTCTTTGAGTCTTTTAGGGAATTCAACTTAGTTCCATCTCCACATGGGTATAAATAGTCAGATTTTTTACTGTCTGATTTAGAAAATGGTATATTTGAGTCCGCATCATCCCTCTCCAGGTCATTCTTCCACATGTCAGGATGCCTGTAGTCTGCATAACGACGTATCAAAATGTCACGAGGGTTTATTCTGACAATTTCATCTTCGTCCTGAAAACTAACGTGTCTGATTGACTTCAGTGGGACCTGAAAAGTAAGGCAAAGTAAGAGAAGTTACTATGGTGAAGTCCCAAATTTATGTCCACCTACAATGTTCACTTAGATTAGAAAACTAAAAAACCAAAACTTTTTTCTTTTGCTGCCTGAGGATAAAAAATTCAGATTATTTTCTTACTACTAAAATTTACGAACATCCCCACAATAATGAGTCCTCTGCAGGGTATTAGGTCTATGAGCTTCAGTATTCTTTCCTGACTTTTTAGTCTCTCGTAAGAGCTTTGGGTATTTTGGTATCCACATAAAACTTGATGCTGCTTTGTGAATTATTCTCAAAATTAGAGTATTAACATCTTAAAGTGGAAATGAATTCCACAGACTAATTATGCCTTATGTGCTGATTTCATGTGATGATCTGCTGCTTTAGGACTAACTCCCTGCTACATTCACTACATGTGTTATCCAGGAGAAGCTTTCCTACTCTAAGTTTTCAAACTCTCAAATTCATAACAAGAGCACTGAATACTGGTAACTAATTATCAAGGCTGTGTTCTAGATAAGGATTTCACAGTATGAAGAACATTCAATAACAGCCTCTTCTGAATGCGTCTCTCCTTAGATAATATACAGTCCTTATATTGATTAGCTTAGGACACAGGCAGGCAAAGACCCAAGTACTTTTTAAATTCTCAGTTTGTAATGAACTGACCAATATTTAAGACCTTATACTTCAAAAGGCAAGTAATAAGGAATGTGCTAAATACATACAAAACCATCAGAGAAATAAGGTGAGAATTCTTGTTTATTCTGCCTCACAATAAAAGGGTATGGGAACATGAAAAAGTTGACAAAGATGACAAAATTAAGAGAATCATCCAAACTGAAATATTGCAGGCCTTAGATATCTAAGTGTAAGATAGTGAATTGCCACTAAATGTGACTGAAATCACATTACAAGTGACTTGCAAGAAAAGGTGCAAATAATTACAGGATAAAAATTTAGCATGTGTATAGAAGTAGCTCCTGAAAATAGCAGGCAGTGCAGCAAAAAAGCAAGAGTCTCAGTATGCCTCAGTATTTCCACCTTACAGGCAGACAATTATTTTTCTACACTTTAGGGCTATTATAATCAGAGCCAGATTATGAGTGGGCTTCAAGTCAAATTCTGCCTTTTTCTCTGTCTAGTGCACAGCCTGTAAACCATTTCTCAGAAAAGACAGAATACCCTTCCCCTCTCTAACCTATTAGTCTTACAAATTCTTCCAGAATCACAAATTACTTGGGAATAATCTTTGGCATCAATATTGTTGCTTTGAGAGGGTTTATCTTATTAGTACTCAAATTAATGAGAATTAATGTGTCACCATTCCATAGTCAAGTACAGCAATTGAACTGCATGTTCCTAATCTGTTGCAGTGTGTGAAACTACTGAAGATGATGTTTTAGGTTAAAACACTTCTATGTCACTTTGCATGCATCTATACTCCTACTGTGCTGAAGTCTGCATGTCCTGATTTTGGGGTAGGAGACAGAGAAGGGAAAAGGGAAGGCAGCTGGAAAAGAGGAAGGAAGAGCTTCTTAAAATATTCTATCTTCTGATTATGTAAGAATATCTGTAGCCTGCTCTAACCATCACTTCCCTGCTCAACAATCCTTGTGTGATGAGTACAGAACTGTAATTAGAGACGCTTTGCCCTGGGACTTTCAACTGGAGTATGCTAACAAGAAAGAATTTTTTTTCCTTGGCTCCAAGCCACATAGTTGAACTTCCACAAGGTTTCAAGGATACAGGGAGAAGAAAGGTTATACCCTATTCAGCTAACATTGCTTCTCTTCCATACTTCCCCAGGCTCCTATACAAGCAGTTAGGCTTCCCCTTTGCTTATAAAAGCAGAGTGCTTCTCAGCCCTGTTCTGTTTTCAAACAAGAGGAAGAATCTATTGTTTAGCAGAAATAACTAACTATGGCTAATGGGTTTATTTCAAAATTTTACAGCATAAATTTATTTAAGAAAAAAAAGCCATAAAAGTTATTAAATTCCATATGTTACAGGCATAAAGGATCCTTACCCTGCTGTCCACATAGAATATTATGCATGCACTTAAGACAGTAAATGTTTAGAAGAAAAAAACCCTGAAACCTCAATACAAAAACACTCCCTCAACTTCCCATTGCCCAGACAGTTAATAGCCGTTAGAGATCACTACAAACACTAACAATGCTAGAATCTGACCTCTCCTTAGCCTTTGAAGGCTTTTTATTTGTTTGAGCAGAACACACCACATACATAGAACTAATTTATTTTTTTCAAGTCTTGAGTCCAACACCTAAAAATGCTTAACTGGCACATTACAAATAAGGCACCACTACATTCTTTAAGGCACTGATATTAAGAAATATTTTTGGAGCAGAACATACTGAAAAATAAGCAAACTGAAGAAATGCTGAAAAGAGCTTGCTCATTGGGTATTAAATGGGACCTATGTGAATGCATGAAGTACATGAAAACTTTTGAACAATTCACAATGCAAATTTATACAGGTAAAATAGCAGCAAAATTTAATGAGAATAATGCACTTAGTCCTCTAAACAGTCAAAACTAAAACTCAGTACAAATGTTATCTGTGTGAAGCTGAAGCAGGGAGGATGAATGTTACAGCAAACTGAAATTTCACAGAGAATCTGATTCCAAACATGATTAGCCAACTGGAAATGAGACAGAAAATTTTTTTTGGTGCAATTGAACCCACAAGTATCACACCTTACTTGAAAGTGTGCACCTTTAAACAAGGCACAGTCACTTCCTTGGCACTGTAGCCTTTGCTGCTTCTCCTCAAAGAATTACACCTGATTTTGCTCATCTTGCAGCTTCTCAGTATGAAGACACCAGCAGCTGCCTACATCATTGCAAAGTACTAAGTTTAACATACATCCATGTATCAGAAACTGGAAAGCTGAAGGACTTGAGTATTTTTTACTAAGAGTCAAAATATTACAGGTAAAATCTGAATTGTCATTAATAATTTCTTTAGTTGGAGCATGTACTTCTTGAGCTATTTAACTTAGGAGCACACTCTTAGGTAAGAGTGTTCAAACTTATTTACACAAAATTGAAATAAACCCACGAATTAGCTCAAGATCTGTAGTGCCACCTGGTCACATGCATGGAGTTTAGCAGACCAGTGCAGTGTGTGCACATACAGAATGTGAAGTTTTGGTGACCTGCCTATGTTCCAAATGTGTGTACCACAAAACCATGCAAAAAGCAGAGAGTGTCTATTGCTGGCAGGAGGTGCTACAACAGGAGAAGAATATTTAAAAGAATATCTGCTTAAATTTTCATGGAATCTCCCATAACTTCACTTTTCAAGAACTGAATTCCAACATTGTCATTTGAAAGAAATTTCTATTTAATTTCTATCAGACAGACACAGATTAATCAGTTTAACACAATCTAAATTATTACTTTCTCAGTAGTCAATTTTATACATGCTTTTAAAATATACAGGCATTTCAAGCTGCTGCACTTTTCTTTACAATGCAAGGAAGACTAACAGGACATATATCACTGAGTACTGTAGCCATTAGCTGCAATAACCTCATCACCAATCCATTCTATTCTAAAAAACATTTACAATTCACTTTGAAAGTAAATGAGAAGAGAGAAAAATGTGTCTTAACAGAAACAAAAGGTAAACATGTACCTTAACAGAAACAAAAATATGAGGTGATGAAGAGATAATTGGAGTAGATCAACGATTAAAGATAAAAAATTAATAATTTCAAGCTTCTTAGTTCCCCAGATAACACTGCTTGCTTCTTTTGCCCAATAAAGCAGATTAAAAGTAGCTGATATAAGACTTAAGTACAATCCTATTTTTCTATGCAAAAATAACTGAAGGTATTAAAAAGCTTTATTATAAGCAGTAGAATTATTTTTGGTAAGTCTTCAGAACTACCTGAACTTGCATTCTGCTTTGACATCTGTTATTCGGCATATTCTAAAAGCTTTCTATGTCTTTGGTTCTAGACATAAGACCATCAAATTAATTGTAATCCAACTTACTAAGACTACTTCCACAGTCTACAAAAACTGTCAGTTCTTTTAGCTTTAGAAAAAAAGAAAAATGTATAGTGATATATAGCTGTACTGATGGCTGAATACTTTTCAATATTTCTAAGCAAAACAGTATTAATATACATGTAACTAAGATTGAGCTAATGTCCAATTAACATTTTCTGAAAAAAACTGAACAGCTTTTTAAGGCTGCAGATACTGAAATCTGCAATACAAAAACAGACTTCAAAGAAATTAAATATTTATTCGTGTGGTCTGGTACAGTACAACGATAGGTAAATAGCTTCACAAAGCTTTACCTCTGTCATAATAATGCTATAATATTTCAGCTGCAAAGTTTATATTGAACATTTCAAGAAGTTGAAAGTACATGGACTTGGAATGCAGTGATTTCTTGTCAGAAACTACATACTGTGCCATTAATACAGCAAGCAAAGTAAGGATTGCTTCTTTCGTTGGTATACTTACCTGGTTAGGTTGGCTAGGAAAACAGGCTCTCCTGGTGTTGAAATCCTCAAATGTTGAAGGCCGTAAATTTGCACTGTTGTAAGTTTCACTGGTTACTACAGTTTCATGTTGAAAAAGGTGATCTTTCATTAGTGAACCTGATGTATTTTCTTGAGCAGTCTAGAACACATAAGGAACTTTCATGAAATGATTTTTGCATTTATATAAAAACAACACCAAACCCAACCAGTTCATACATAGATGTGTTAATATTCCATATAATGTGTTAGAGATATCTATAAACACTAGTAATCTTAAATGCACATTTTTTAAAGCATTCAGAAGTAGGCAAGTATTTTCTTTATTTTGAATCAGCCTTTGTAAATACAGAATTTCTCTGCAGACAGTACACAACTTGGGCACTAGAGATACGTGCCATTGAAATACAGTTGCAAAATCAGACTTCTTTAAGGAAATAGAGATTAACCTGTCTCTAAGATGTTTTCTCTAACTATCCATGAAGCTGGCAGTATTTACAAAAACACAACCGGAGAAAAAAAAATCGGAGACTATTTTATAAGGCAAAAGCTAGTCAGATCTTTTAATAAATTAAAAGCAAAATCAGCTGGAAGAAAAAAAAATAACCTATACTGGCTCAATTAAAATATCTAATTGCAGCAAGTGTGCATTAGACATGAATGACAGTCATTTTGTAATTAAAGTTCTATCAGGCAACTCGATACAAAAGTGAGACTATGAAGCAATACATGATGAGATAGCTGCAGGACCTGTGCTATTCAAAAGAAGGAACAGGAAGTATGTTTGGGTGGAATACTGGCTTGTGAGATGATCCAGTTTTTGAAATGAATTGAAAAATGAACAGTTCTCATTCTTTAAGCTTGACTGACTGGGACATACTTAGGATACAGCACAGCATTTTGATACAAATTCCATTGAGCTGCCAAAAATATACTGTATGTTTTGTTTGCATTGAGAGGGATGCTGTAAAGTTAACTGGCTGTCATTGTGGATAGCACTGAGAAAATTCTGCCATCATCCAGCTTCCAGCAATGAGAATGTTTCAGCATTATTATATGGATTTGTATGTATCAAGAAAACATTTACAGGAAAAGAATAAGAATACTACAGAAAAATACTGAGGCAGAGGCAAACCTAAAGTTTTGGCAGGTTAAATATTGACCCAGAATCATTAGTTTTCACTTATCAAAGTACTTAAGGAACTTATTCTAGGATTACATTAGTACCTCACATACATAAAAGCCTAATGTATCAAGTTTATGAGATCTAGATGGTTTGAAGTAGCTGGTCTGTAGCTGATTTTGTAGGAGAAAGAAAATCATCACATCACTTAATTTATATCTATTGTTTGAGAAGCCCCATGTGGGGAAACATTAAATTTAGTAATTCATTCATGATCAGTGTAATTAATACTACAGAGCATACACGCCAAGAAAGACAAAAGCTCACTCAATCAGGGTAAAGTACCCCTGAAAAATTTTGAAGACAGGCAAAATACCAAAAAGAAATACTATTGGCAGATCCTTAAGCATGACACCACCACAAAGTAATTGACCCTGTTATTGTCAAAATTAAATTTTCTGGTCAAACATTGTTGGAAAACGAGTATAAAAGAAATATTGGAATGACTACAAGGAATTGAACCTCATATATGTGTACTTATTTTAAGAGCAAAAAGCATCAAATATTAGTGCGATAGCAAACATCTTCATAGCAGGAGGTACTCCTGCAGATACATTGCCCAATAACATAAAAAGCTTCCAAAACAGTGGCTCAAACTATAGAAGAGCTGTATTCAAAATGAAGAACAACCATTTTTGGTATGAGCAATGTTTAAAATTACTACAAAAGCATTTAAGCTAAGAGCCAGAAGCCATTTTACAGAAATCACAGTGATAAGCATCCCCTTTCCCCTTCCCCTGGCTATTATAAACTTGAGTGGTCTAAGAAGAAGGGAGCAAGCTGCAAAAACTTCTACTCCTTCCTTCCCAGGGAAAAAAACATATACTACTCACAAGCCTGTTATTATCCCTGGGTGAGATTTGCAGCAGCCTGCATTATTTCCTGTCCCTGCAGGTGATTCACACCTTTCTTCTTTAAAAATAAACTATCTACACTATAGAGCAAAAAGGACACATGCACATGCTCACACAGGCAGACACAAGTACCTCCCCTGGCACTCAAGGAGGGCTCCACCTAATGAAGGACACAGGCACGGATCACCTCTGACTGTGCTAACTAGCAGTGCCAGATGATGCACGAAACCCAAACCTTAATCTTAAAGCAAACCTTCATGCCCTATACACAGCAATTATCAAAGAATGCTTTTAGAAAATTCCAACACAGATACCACAATTCAAACTAATTGACTTCAAGGACAAATTTCAGGGTGGCAGCAGACAGAGAAAAGCATGGTACCTTTTGTAAGGCAAGAACTCGCCAAACAGCATTTCTGAAAGCACAATGCTCAGTTTACTATCCTATACCCGACAGGTAAGTGGACACAGACTAACTTCTGGTATTAAAATAAAAAGCAATCATGTCAGTCCTTTAGCCAATAAATATTCACTATGCTGAATTACAGAAATGCAAGATGAACATGGTGAACTCTCTGCTTTTAACTAAACTGCAGTTTTAATACAGTCAAACCACGCTTATTAGTATCAAAAACCTTTTCCTTGGACAACTTCCTGCTCCAATGTGATGCTTTATTACAAGGTCATAAACATCTGAAAACCCACATTTATAATGGAAACACTGACAATCTGAAGTAGGAAGCCCTAGAAACAAAAATGGTATTGTGTTGAAAATGCATTTAAGTAAGAAGCAAACATATAAAGTTTTCCACAAGAACATATACAGAACAAATATACAGAGTATCACACACTAACACAGATGCACACATTCTCCCTTTCTACTGTCCAAAGCAATTACATCGCCCACTGTCAATATTCTTTAACCACAGCCTGCAAAGTACAGTACTGGCATAGGTTATTCAGTATCATCTGTAAAGCAACCTACGCCAGTTTTTAATGCACAACGGAAATCTGGTTTGCTCCCAGCTGCTGGTATAATAATTACTGTCCTATGGTTGCTAAGAGATACTCTGAATTTTTTTCCAAGACTACTAAAACATTTCTGTGCGCACAAGCAAAAGGATGCTGGGTAAAGCAATAAAATGACTCCAGCTGTAGCTCTCCAGCAGAATTCAAAGCCAGATGACAGCTGTAGAGAAAATGAAAACCAGACTGAGCTTCTCTTGTTCTTCAAATTTTCTCTCCTTACTTCTCCCAGTTTGCCAGAGTTAAGTCTGGGAGAGAATTCAACATTGTTCTGCAAACATTGTTAAAAATGTTCTCCTCTAAGTAAGTTTAATGATTACACAGAAGGATGGATGAGAGACCACATTTCCGCTGCATCCCAGTTCTTGCATTTAATTCCCATAAGGCCCGAAAATCTGCTGCTTGATGCTAACAACATAAGAAATGTTTTAATGCCTTTTCCTTAATTTTTCAATTCTGAATAAATTATACAGGTTTCAAAAACATCTGAATGACTTCCTTCTGCTTTGGCTATATCTGGGACTGATGGAGCAATATATTTGGCAAAGAAACTCTATTATTTTCAGGTATGTGTTTCTGACATAGGCTGAAATATTACCTAGGTTACTGTAAATATTTCATACAGTTTAAACTAAAAAATAAGATATTTGACATGTCTCTTTCTTCAAAGGCTTTACCACCTGGATATATAGAGAACTCTACATATAAAGAGGCTGCTAGGAATACTGATGAGGGAAAAAAAAATTCCTCCTGTTTTTTATATACAACTCCAATAAAAAAAGCTTAATAAATCAAAATGGTTTAGCACAATATATTAATAGATTTAATTGAAATTGATAATATGAACTAGTATTACTTTTAGTTCTAAGAACTGGACCTAAACAATTTATTATGTGCACTAAATATTTCTAATCTTTAGTGTTTTACCATGTAATATTGTCTTATCCATAAAACAATACAGTGCATCAAGGGTAAATTATTTCACATTTCCTTAAAAGTCATAATGTTATTTTTATAAAATAAAACTTCTGCAAACATTTTGTTAGAGACAAAATAAATTGAGTGGTCCTTGAAGGCCCTTATGAAAAGGTCACAAAACAGTGTATTTACTGAGCAACATATGAACAATTAATGTCTTCCCTGCCTGCACCAAAATCACGTAAGATGCATGTAAGTTTCAGGCCTTTCCCCCTTACTATTAACAAAAAGTCCAGTGTACTGAAAGAACAAGCCAAACTTTTTATTTTCTGCTTACAATTTATCAGTCTACAGTTTTCTTCTGCCAGTAGTAAGAAACTCAAAAGTGATCCAATTCTTATTACTTCAGACTGTTAAAATGTGTTGGTAGCCTATAAATAACACCAATATGGCTGAATCAACAAAAACTGAAAGAAATTAAAGCTCAACTACTCTATTTTTCAGTCCACAAAATCCCTACAAAAATAATTCTAAATGTATGAACTCTAGATTTCATTTAGATTTACTTTTAAGGAAAAAAAAATATTTTTGGTTTTTTTTCAGATAAGCTAGGTGAATTTTAGAGCAGTAAGTTTATATTTGGTAGAGGAAAATAACGGAGCAAATATTTTAACAAACAGGCAAAGTGACTTACACAAGCTGCTCCTACATTCAAAATGCAAGGTTTTATACCAAAACCATCTAAACTTTCTAACAGAACAAATTCCCAATGTATATTTCCATGTAAGTACATCTACTTTTCCAGGTTCCATTTACCAGTATTAAAGGAAGTCAGATAGTTCTGCCTTAACTCATTGGTGTATTTCTGTTTGAAATGAGTCCGGTAAGACTAGGGCTTATTTGATGATATGAACAATTTCCATTGAATAAGTTAAATAAACAACCAAAAATAATTGCAATAATTTAAGTACCATGAAAACCCTTAAGTGATCATATTCTTTTAATACTAGGATTTTAACATTATTTGGAAACAACAGAGAGGTTAAAGAAACTATAAGGAAGCTATGTCTTAAAATGATAAATTTGATCTTCAGCAAAAGGAATGCTTTCTCCAGGAGATTTTATTTACAAAATGTAAATTAAAAAATCAGAAATTTAGTGAGTCTGGATATAACATAGCAAGCCAATTGCTAGCCTAGAAGGCACAACATGAGTTCAGTTTTTGGATTTACATTTAAGATATGCACATACAACTTTTGGACAATCACTATTTCTGCTAACTACTTCTATAAAATGTGATAATACATATTACAAGGAAGCACTGAGATTTCACACTGAGATGATAATTTTTGATCTTCTTTGGATCATTTTATTTGCTCTCTGTAGCACCAAATATAACCAGCCAGTAAAATAACTTATGAAACATGTTTAGCTTTCTTCATAATCTAATCATCTTCATTAAAAAAAAAAAGCAGACAACAGAACCAAGCCACCATTAATGAAATTTATGTAAAAACCAAATACTATAGTTATAATTCAAATGCACATTAAATATAGGATTCCTGCTGTGTAAGATGACTAGAACAGTACAGAAAAACTACTCTTTAATATTCTATCCACACTCCAAAATACCCTTGCACAGATATACTCCAAAAACACACTTAAAAATAGTAATGGAGACTTAGGAAAACAGCTTATAAAAGGAACAGGAAAACAAAAAAATCATTAAGTCTTTTAAACAACACAGAAGTGGCAAAAAGCAGGGTGACAAGTCAACACAATTCTTCAAATACTCAATACATTCTCTTTAAAGAATGATGGTCTTACACATCAAGTTTAAAGGACCCTGGGGTATCCACTTTCACTTAGCAGAGTACCAATCTTGGAAGGGGGGGGGATTTAATAATTTGAAAGAAAATGTGGACTATTTGGTATTTCAAAGGTGTTCTTGGAGACTAGACCTGATGCCTGTGACTAAAATGGTGTAGCTTTTCTGCACTCATGTTCATAAGCCTGCAATTGCAGCTTCGTTACTGATACATAAACCCAGTTTAGATGAAGCATAGCTAAACCAGGGTGGATTCAGTTTTCTCTGAATTTCTTCTTTTTTCCTTCCTTCTGATAAATGCTAGTATCAGTATCACTTATTTTACTTTGCTGTGCAGAGATATGGTGAGACATATTGACTAGCTTTTTTGTTTTTAGAAAACAGGACATCTATCCACAGCACAAATCCACAGTTAAATAATATCTACTGTGATGAAGTCTTTAAGTATGTTTTCCTGTCTAGAATGTAAAAGATAGTTTGGCCAGTGGCATGTACCACACAAGATTGATTGTACCTTAACATATATATCTGGTGTGTGAGTATTTATACATTATATGTATAATGTAATAATAATATATAATCTATAATCTATAAATCTTAATATATAATTTAATATATAATATATTTTAATATATAATAATAATTATAATCGGTTTTACAGACATTTAAAAATTTATACATTTATTTATAAATTTATTTTTTAAAATGGAATATAAAGCAAGCCTATATTTACATATGTAAATAGGTGATATATTGATATTCACATGTATAGAAGAGATGCTGTAAATACACTTTTCTCCACTTTGCCATAACAAACGCTCTCCATTTGCAATAACAAATTTGTAACTATAATGAGTCTCAGATATCTTCCTCAATTTTGGCATCCTTATATAGAAATGTAATAACTAGGCAGCAAAATCAGATGTAATTGGTTTGTTCTAATCTCATTAGGGCTGTAGAAACTGTTCAATTATTAATCCTTGCAACAAAGCATGTTTAAGCAAGTCATTTAAGAGCTGATTAAGGACTGCATTAACTTTGGCACATATTTCCTTCACCCTGTAAAAATATAATCTCTTTTTAAAATCTGAAATATCTCATATTCATAGCAATTTTACTTTCAAGTGCCTTAAAATAAAGCACTGAAAGTATAGAACAACAGGTGATTACGCAGCCAACACTTACACAAAGTAATACATTTCTTCTGCCATAAAATGAAAAGATATCAGGAGACTTCTGTGTTGCCACTGCATTGCAGTATCCTTTCTAAATACTTGACTCTCAGTCTCCTATCATATCTTCAAAGTCAGCTGCTAATTTTCTTGATTTTGTGTTCTAGAGGTTCTACACTGGGTCTATTTACACTGATACAGGATTTATTATTGCATAAGTGGCAAGACTCCTTCCCAGAAGAAATCACTTAGCAACACTAGCAGTTTTCTGAATAGTCACTAAGACCCCTGAGTCAACTTGTTTCTTCGCCATCTTCATAATAATTTAAATTTCTGCACTCTGAAAACTGAATATATGAGTGAATGAAGACACAGCTTTCCCTTAAAACCATACATAAGAAGGGAAAAATGACAAGCATACATAGACACAAGTAGGACTTCCTCACTTGTAATATAGTTATTCACTCTGCATGTGTGTATCTATATCTAATCTATAGCTATATATCCATCCATAATGGTTTTTTATACTGGCTTTTTAATTACATGATTCTTGGATATTGCCAGGCAGTGCTATGTATCAGTGTAACCATACTTATGGTATATGATATGGTATACTTATATAGTACTGTAGCTCTGAAGCATGGTTGGACATAAATTTTTATCTCTTAAGTCATTATGACCTACAGAAATTGAAGAGTGCAAAAAGAAGATCAATAAAAACTTGAATCTCAGTAAATGACCACTTTATTTTCAGTGTGTTTTTAAAAATTGAACTTCTGTCTTTGTTTGGACCAGATCCTCTCAACCATTGTCTCAGCATCTTTTCAACTCTAACCATTTGAAGTTAAAGAGTTTTATCACTGCAAAGGGAAATCTAAGGAAACAAATAGGATGTGTAAGTAGAAAGATTCTTCATCCCTCTGTTTTGTTGCCCAGAAGAATATTTCTTATTTCAATAAGATCAAAGAGGACATATAACTTGAACACATACTGAACTTAAAAATTAACCTCAGGATACTTAATGATCCTATGGATTAAATAATACCTACTTTGTTTAGGACAGATAATATTATAAGTCTTCTAGATAATTCTTCTAGAACTTATTTCACTAAGCTGAATTTTGCTATTGCTCTTATTTTGCTTATTCCCAGTAATGAGAGCAAAATCTCTTCAGTACATTTGTAAAATAAAAAATGTACTATTAATTAAAAAATTTACTCACTTGAAAGCAGTCTTCTGCCACTTCAACATCATTTTGGGAGGGTGGATAACCTTCATATAAAGAAAAAAAAGTAGACAAAGTTGTTTTCTTCATATTTACCACTTACTGCTTCCAGTTATCCACATCATCTCTCAACATCCAGTGATGATTATACAAATATTCTTGTTTATGGTTTTAACCTATAGATCACTGCATTTCAAATTGATTTAGCAAGCATGATTTATTTCTACACTGCATTTTCTATACTGAGTATTCCTAGCCACACTCCTCTCTCTTGTTCCCACCTTCCTTATAAAAGCATTATCAAAGTGTCATCAGCAGTCAGAAGCAAGGGAGTATATTCCTTTTAATGTAGCATTTTGAAAACTAAAGGCAGACCATTTGGTTGGCAGGAATGCACACTGTTTTATTTTGCTATAAATTGGCAGAAATTGAAAGTGTGAGACCCTAAGAGAAAAAAATTACTCTCATGTTCTCTAAATATTTGTCTTGAAGGGTTATGGATTGTACCAACAAATTTCCAAAGCAGTCATTAGAGTATGTCAAAAACATTTCCCTTCAGAAACATGCTCCTCCCTTCATTAGTAGGATAACACACATAAAATCCCTAAAGTTACTTTTTACAAGCCTGAGATGTTCTTTCAATTCAACAGACACATGTTCTCTTCCCTCCCTGTCTCAATCTAGCAAGACATTTATCATATTTTCAGCTTAGAACCTAGGCTTGATGATATCCTTCAGTTTGCTCACTGGTTTCCATTAATTCAGTGAAACTCTGGAACTTCATTCCAGAGTGGGCCATGTTGTTATCTGAGTAAATTCTTCTTCTGTTCCTAAAAAACCTGTCCTCAGAACCATGCTGAACACAGAACTACTACTAACTCAGCTGTTAGTAAAAACTGAAACTATTAACTGAAAGTATGTGTAGATAAAAAGAGAACTCAATAGGTCACAAATTATTCAACTTCCCAGCTTATCCTACAAGAACACAGGAGTTGCAAAAAGCTTCTAAGATCCAAGTGAGAGAATATTACACTCCAGCTTCCTCCATTTCTTCATGTCTAAAAGAAAGAGGCAATGCTTTATTACGTAGGGATGTTTCAGGAAATTACCTAATTAGTGTTTGTGAAACAATTTAAGACACTTGAATGAATGGCACTTTAGAAATGCCAGAAGTACTATTACCTATTAAAATCCCGATATATATAGTTTAATCTACATCCTTAAATACTGTCAATGAAAATTTTACACAAAGTGCTTTGACATCTTTTTTAGTAATGACTCAATATTCATCCACCCCACCAAGTCTTTCACCTGAAATATGTACCTTGAGAAATATCCTCTACTGCTCTCCGAATACCTCTATCAAATGCTCTTGCATCAGCAGGACTCTGAAATGTGAGGCCAAACTTTTTGTCATCAATCTTCCAGTGGTAAAAAGTAGGAGTAACTTTGTTGTAAACAAGGTCTTTCTTTAATGTGCATTCCAAGACCACCTTTCAGAAAGAAAACAGAAGGAAAAAATATCAGTGATGAATATATCGAATTTGAGAACAAAAGGTAGTCTTTGTGAACTAAAACATACATCATAGAGGTCCCTCTTCAAATTTCTTCCTGCTACAAGGATGTAATTTTAACTTCATTTCTATTATGAATTATTCACTATCAATTGCTGATAAATAGTATGGGTTGAAGACACTATTTGTTTACTGAGTCAACATTCCTGTTCAAAAATCTCATACCCGTAAAAGAATCTCATACCTGCAACAACCAGTACAGACTTGGTAGATGTTCAGCAAATGAAATAGGTCACATCCCCCCACAAAAAGTATTATGTGTGCTGGTATCAAATTTTACTGTATCACTGAGATCTACAAAATTTTTTAGCACTAGACTAACTTCATGCTGCTTTCAGGCAGATTTTCAGATTTCTCTCAGAAAGGCTACTAGACAAGTGAAAGTAATACAACAGAATTCTTTAAAAAATGAGATAACAAAATCTTTATAAGTGTATTAGTGCCTGCACCTAGACAAAAATACATTTGTGTATTGCATAAAAAAATGAAGTAACTGCAAATAATTAACAGAAGTATTTGGCTACAAAATCATTAGAGGTATATATGTACATTCAGTTCTAAAGCAAAGTCACAGTCTTCACACTGAATCATAAAATGGTTTGCGTTGAAAGATACCTCAAAGGGCGTCCAGTTCCAATCCCCCTGACATGGGCAGGGACACGTTCCACTAGACCAGGTTGCTCACAGCTCCATCCAAAATGGCCTTGAACACTTCCAGGAATGGAGCATTCACCCCTTTTCTGGGCCACCTGTTCCAGTGCCTTACCACCCTCACAATAAAGAAATTTTTTTTGTATCTAATTTAAATCCACCCTTTTTAAATTCAAAGCCATTCTGCCTTGTCTTGTCACTCTATTCTCTGTTAAATAATCCCTATCCAGCTTTTTTTGCAGGCTCCCTTCAGGTACTGGAAAGCCTTATCATTTCCCCTTTAAATAGACTGGTTTTAAAACTGTATTTGCATTTTTATTTTACTGGTAAAAATTATTTTAAGCAGCATTGTTGCACTGAGCGTTTATTGATTAAAAAAAATCCAATGTGAACAAGAAAGTATGGAGGGAAATGCATTGATCTGCTCCCACTGCAGTATGATAAAGCTCCCAGTAAGATATGTCTCTCTGTATTGGAATTTGATGATGGAGGCCTACACTGACTGAGAGATGAATGAGGAATTTCAATATTCTATCATTTCATTGATGTACTTCTAGAATTTTTTCATTTTTTGTTTTGTTACATATGTGGCTTTTTAAAAGAAAAAAATAGGGAATTCATCACAGAATAAGGTAAAATTACTTTAAGTACAAACAACAGGAAAAACCCCTCAAATTAAAATACAAATATATATATATATTTGGGTTATTCCTACATATTCTTTGCGTTCCTCTTCTCCTTTCATTGTCTAATTATTACACAGGCAAATAGGTATTTTTTTCTTGCACTTCATTATTTATTCCCCCTACAACCCACCAGTAATCATCTCCTCTCAACTGTTACTGCCTTTTACCTCTGCCTCTAGAAGGATAATAATCAATCTGCACATATAAACTCCTTTAGCATTAATGTAATTGTTGGTTTCTCCACTCAGATCTCCCTAAATGGTCAACAATATGTAGGTAAAAATGCTTACAAGAAAACATAAAAAGGAATCTGTTTGCTGTAGGTCTGTGGGAAAAGTTGTTGCAGGAAGAAAAAAAGGATTATTCTGCAGTTTTAAGGTGCATCAAATAGTTGTTCTTTGTTTCTCTGGATGATTTTAAACTCGCTTCCTCTTTCAAAGAGCAGTTGAAAAGGAAGGCTTCTCACACCACTGCCTTTTCTAGGCCTGAGATCGCTTTGGGGGAATCTCTGATACATTAACAGCAATTATTTTCAGTCTATTTTGTGTGCCATGTCATCCAAAACATCAACAAAAAGTACTGCAAGCCTGATTTTATAGCATTACAATGATTTTCTGGTGCCCAAGGGATTAATCCAGATTACTTCATACTGAAAATTCATACCCAGTAAAAATGTTACCACTAGAGATGAAAACTGGATTAAAACTTCACTGAGTAGAAGTTAAGGTTTTCAAAGACACAGAAACCAAACTAGAAAATTCCCAAACCAACTCTCTCCAGCCCAAAAAGCAACACTCACCCCCAACTTCCAACCCTCACATATGATATAACAAGCTTTGATTAACAAAACAAGTAAACATCCCATCTAACACTGTAATTGTTTCCAACTTGATTCAAGGAAACAACACATTTGAGGGAGTGACACTGATTTTTTCCCCATTTAAACCTGTATGAAAACAAACTGCTTAACACAGAAGATATAGAGTGAAAAGGCATTGAAAAGGGAAAAATATGTTGCATTAAAATTAAGCAAGGCTTGATTACTGCCCTACCCAAAAGAAAGCTGAAAAGCTATGGGTCTCAATTAGCAATGAGACACAAATTTATAAACATCCAGCACTTCGATAGTATTTGTTACACTCAGAAATACAAAAAATTGCAGATCAGATTAAAAAAACATACCAGCCATCCCCAGAAGCATTTTTCTCTCCCTGAAACACTTCTATGCTTTGCAACAATAGTGAATTTTTTTCATTGTAAAACTTAATTTTGCCAAAGGCTACCTTATGCTCAAGCACGTGAGCTATCATGAGGGCTGGGAAGGAAGCATCCTCATACACATATTCTCCAAGGCCTGGAAATGGAAACCAAGCTTTTTCAATGCACTTATATTTCAAAACTCCAATTATTTTTAGTGTGCTTTGCTATGGTTCAGAACTCTCCACATCACAGGTGAAGATCATATACTCTTCCACATCATTATGCAAAATATGCACTCCCAAACCTTCCCCAAGATCTCCAGGGATAAGCACAGCAACGGCCTGAAAAATTGTAAATAAAATGCCTACAGCTTAGCTAAGTTTCATTTCCAAAAACATCCCATGGGTTACTGTTCTGAAGGTTTTCTTCATTTGGAGACTTAAATATAAGACTTCCATACCAATATGAAACATCTACCTTGGCACATAATGGAAAATGTTGCAGAATCATCAGACTCAAGACAGAAGAAAAACAGATCCACATGACTAAAATTTAAACTCTCAGAACACAAATATAGGGCCCTATTTATGCTCTATGTCTCCTGTTATTTAATTAAAAGCTCTTTTTAATATCTAGATGTCATTAAATGTAACAGTAATGAATTCATTGCTACTCAAAAATACTTGTTAGCCTAATGTTTCTTTTCTCACCTCTAAAAACTAAATCTTTAAAGATAATAAAATCTATTTGGCTTATGCAGACAATATCAATCTCCAGAGTCAGAAATTTTCTACTTTAGCACTTAAAATCCAAATACTTTCAAACATAAATGAGTATTGAAAATATGAAATTGTTATTTAGAGCTTATTTCAGGGAAAAAAAACCCAACAAAACAAAACAAAAAAAAAATCCCAAAACTTTTGCATTTGATACAAATTTCTATCTTGGTAACAGACCCAATAATTCAACATTTTGAGATCCTGGACACTATTGTACTGTTTTCTAGCTGTACTTTCAAAGCTTACAAAAGCACATGTAAGATAGACAGCCTCACTGTTTCTCATTCCCAAGCCAAATCTACAAACTTACAAACACACCACTTTTCAATGCCTATTCTGCTTTACTCCTGGGAACAAGCAGCACGACCTGAGTGGATTCATGCTACAGAGTACATGAACTCAGTGTCACAGTAACCATTTGACAATTATTCCAGGCATACTTTACATTCAGTTCAAAAAAGATGATGTACTGAGTTGTACTACAGCCCATCAGAATCAAACTTCCCTCAATCTTCAAACACAATTTAAAAAGTAAAATATTTAAGTTTGTAAACAGCAGATTTTTAGAACAGAATGGTATTTCTATTCAGTTTTAGCTTTGTGTCTCTTCCTTTACACAATTACTTTTTATTCAAAGGAAAGATTTTAAACTTTGTTACTCCTGATTCATGATCTAAAAGACACTAGTAATATTTTTTTTTCTCCTTTAATAAAAACTTGCATGGCAAAAGTCTGGAGAAGAAAATAAACCAGAGAAGTCTATTAGACTTTGCATTCAGGAAGGTAAAATTCACCAAAGCCTAAAAACTAGTAAGTTTGAGCCTAATATGTGCTTAGCTATTGAGATAGAAGAGAACTACTGTGAACACACTGAGAGAGAGAACAGCAGATCTGACCAGGTTCTGAGGGAGTGCAATTGTTCCAAGCAGACTGGCTGGAGCCTGATCTAGGAAGGTGATTATAATAAAGGGGGAAATGTGTAATTATGGGAAAAGTCTTCATGAAATGCCCTTACATTCCAACACAAATCTAAACAACCTGTGCAAATTAGTGGGAAGCATTCTCTCTCAAATTAATTCAATGGAGCCACCACTCTGATTTTCGTCTCAGATAACTAGGATGCTTTTTGTGAATGCCACAAGATGTTTTAAATAGCTGTGTATGCACAAAAATTATGGAAGTTTACATGTAGACTGAAGCTGATTTAGAAGAGCTTACAGCAACCTGCCCCTCAGGTCTAAAAAGAAACAAGACGAGCCCTCTCCAACAAGGATCTTCAATATTTTGATGTTCATTCCGGAGTATTTAATTTATACAGCTGACTTACAGACTGAGATCTATTGTTGTAACTAAATGCCTTCATAGCCTATAAAATACATAGAAAGATTGGTAAACTGGAATGGAACTGCAATTAGTGGGAGCAGCAGCAACTAAAGCTAATTCCTCTTCAGTATAACCATTTAATAGGCATCTGGAAAATACCTCCAGCAAACATCTCATCTATAGATTTCAAGCTGGTTTAGAGAAAATTTCCCCTTTCACAATCTGACACATTGGTTAAACAGTTATACTGGCATTATGATTCCCATGTATCTTAGGTAAAAGCTATAGATCTGAACTCCATTTACTTTCTAACCTAAGATATTTCAAAATCTATGCTTCCCCATGTCAAAAAAAAGTGTTCCAAGTTCCACACTCTAGGTTTTCATGTTAAGGGAATTTCTGCACCTTTTCTGGAAGCTAAGCCATTTCACAAAAGAAGAGACTTACTGGCTAGAGAAAATCAAGATATAATCTTGATTAGAAAGGTATTTTAGCAACATGTAATGTGACTTTAGAGAATGTGGGGAAGTTGGTTTGTAAAAATGACTTTCTTTTTTAATCCACAGAAGTATTTTCATAAACAGCTGTGTGTACCTTGCAAAAGCTTCAGTGAAATGGAAACCATGGTCCAAGTGACTTGTAGATATTACATCAGATAATTAATTAAACATTCCTGAAGACACATGTACTCAAAGCCTGAGTAACTGAAATGTTAGAAACTGTTTAGGAAGCTTTTAAAAAAAATTGTAACGTCTTTTCAAATACAATGGCAGAGCAACCAACTAAACAGCATACTACTAACTTCAAAGATTATACAGCCATTGAGATTTACCAAGGGCATTCTAAAATGAGACTCAAGGGAAGTTGGTGCACAGGAACAGTAGATTCAGCATAACACTTCCACAACATCTGAAGATTATCAAAATATTTGGTCTCAACTCAATAGCAAATACAGTGGCTTCCACTTTTACTTTACTTTAAAAAAAATATATATATAATTATTATGAAATATAATAGTTCACCTGTCACTTCTATTTGGACTAAAACCCCACTTGTTTGACTTCATTAAAGAAAAGATTAAAATTTGTCCTTGAACAGTGAATCCACAGGAATATCCTAAGAAGGAATGTAAAACCATTAACCATATTGAAAGCATAATGATCAGAATAGTTTTAGAATCAGTGATGTGTCCAACAGAATTTCTTGTTCAGTGCCTGCTATCTTCTGCCCTTCTAAATAAGCGTCATGACCTAATTTTGTCATCACATTTCTTAGTGTAGGATCTTGTTCTTTCTGTGCCAAGTGGGGTCTCAGTGCATTCCATACAACTTGGTCGTTAATTCATTACTCATTAGCTGTTGCTTATAATTGCATTATCTGAAATCTGTAGAAATACATGAATACACAGTGACTTTCATTCAGTTATCAATTAATTACTGGTTCTCCAGTGTTCTTCTCCACACCCTAAATTTACATTTGTTAGTTTCCTGAGTTTTATTCAATATACACGGGAGAGATGTGCGTCCTAGCTGCACTTCTTCCACCTTTTACCCCGTGTTTTTGAGAGGCTGACTTCCAATAGCAATTTCCCATAACTACAGCAAGATTGCAATCTTGTTAGGTCACATTTGAGGGGCCTAAGTACAAGGAAGACAGATGGACACAGGATGGGACACACACACCAAAAAGCCAAAACCAAAACAAACTGTTCAAGACAATAAATGTTTGGAAAAAATATTCCAGCTAACATGAGCTTGATTTTAGACAGGAAGAGGAGGAGAAACATTTAAAACCTTCTACCAGAAGTGGAAACAAAACAAGTCTTGCCGAGGGGAAATGGGAGAGAGGACACTGCAAACAGATCAGGACACTGGTGACCGGACATTTTTATATGCACGCAGGCAAGACATTAAACCAGTCTCTACTTTGGAGCATTTTATTATTCTTAAGGCAAGCTGTGAATGTTCCAAGTACTAAGAATTAAGAAAAAATTATCAAGTATCTCTAAATGCAATTAAGCTTCCCAAAAAGAGCCTCGACAAGACTAAAAAAAGTTCTAAAGGGAACTACTGCAAAGTGAGGAAGGAACTGCAGGTGCACGTAGCTGTGCGGGAACACAGGGTACTCTGCTAATTGCGCTACGCCCCACTGAAACAACTGAGTCAGCACAATTTCTATTTATATGCTCTCTTCCTACAATAGTCACAGTCAAGGCAGAAAAATCAGCAGTCCTGCCTCAGAGGAGAAACTGGTGTGCTTGAGGAAGGGTCAGCAGTACAGTATAGGAAGTAATTCTATCTTTTAAGCTTACAGAGGAGTCAACATTCATTTGCAGAAAATAATAAATTCTTGTAAAAAGTCATTAAGATGGAGCTTTTGTGCATTCTCTACTTCTTTTTGTTTCCACAGTAAAACACAGCCCCTTTCAGAAATCTGTTTGCCATACAAGTAACCAAGCAATACTTAGTAAGCCCATTTTGTCTTCCTTAGGTCTGCGTGTAGAAACGGCTGAGATCCTGCACCAGTTTTTCTTTTGCGAGGCTGATCTTCATGATGCCTCTTAAGAGACATTTATTACTGGTATTTTATGTAAGGTAGCTGATGAATTAATACTGTCTATGTGTTCATCAAGCCAGGTCAATTCTTGGACCTGTCAGCTTCATCTGTCTTCCAATACAAAGTTGTTCTCATGTAAAATGGCTTCTTTTTGTCATAGCCATATTCCATAGCTAACCAAATCACTACTGAGCAATTCCACCTGGTTTCATGTTCTTAATAGAATTCTCATTTCCAACACTCCTAAATGCAGTATCACTGGTATAGGAACACAATTTAACTCTAATCTTTCATTGGAAGAAAAATTAATAGCAAAATTTTTCCCAATATGGATGGAGAGTTCAAAAGAAAATCAATGTGCTTGATTCTAGAAAAGCAGAATCAAAACCAAATAACAGGCTCTTTTGGTACACAATCACAGATATAGAGAAGTTCAGCAGCAGCATTAGACTGAGACTACAAATTTACTTTTTAGTTTATAGGCAATAATAAGCAAGCATCTATACCTATGCCCCATAGAGTTTTAGTATCAACTATTTTAGTATCTCTATTAAATAGATAAAAATTGTTACCGTTTTATCCCTGAGTCGTTCTCCATGGATAAGAAAATCAGCACAGCTATTCTCTTCCTGGGGAATGACTTTGAAGACTGTGACACAGCTTAGTCCACCCCCTCCAAGTGGTAACCATCCACCACTTGAGTCATCCCGGGTCATCACCACAGCTCGTACTCGTGCATAACTATTACTGAAAGAGAAGCAAAAGAAGACATTAGTTTTCCATAAAGTCTAGTAAAACCTAAGCCAAGTTAAAAACAAAACAAACCAACAAAGCCACAACCAAGATCCCAATAATTAGCACTGCCTTTCCACAAACATCACCTAGAAGAAAACAACTTAAGATCACCCTCTAAAAAATGTTCCTCTATATTTTTGTGCCTTTATTAGGACTTCTCAGAGGTTGTGATTTTTTGTAAAGAGGCTTAACCAGAGAACATAATTGACAAATCAAAACTCATATTCTTCCAAAAACTTGACACTCAATGATCTAGCTAGAGGGCAGGAAAGAGAATACGAACCAACTCCTGATTTATTTTAGACTAATCATGAAGCCAGTCAGCCACCATGAAATTGCACAGAAAAGAGAATAAGAAAACAGAAAGAGGTCAGGCCTTCTGTCACTGAAATCTAAACAAGAACAGGCTTCTAGCCAGAAATTCTGCTTCCCTTCATCCATCCCTCCTCCCCATGCATATAACTTGTTCTTTGCAAGGACGGGTCATGGTGGGGTTTGAAAACGGGACCAGTTACAACTACTTAAGATCCACATTTGCAGTGTCTACTTGCTGCTTCTCTCCTGTATTTGTATCGTGTGTAAAATTACTGTAACTTCACAATCTAACATTTTTCCATCATTTAGTATTTTTATAAAAAATAAACAAATTATTACCATGTCATTACTTAAAAGCCAAACTCCAGAATATTGGAAAAAGAGGTTTTGGTCACTTCCCTCTTTCTCTGCTCTTAGTTTTTTCTTTTAAATTAAATGAAAACTTTTAGTTTTGGTTATGAATTTGCCACTATATCACTTGGAAAACCCCATGGTTTGCCAATGATAAGAGGCTACATTTGAAGTACAGTTTACTGGATGAATGTAGCAGTTGATGATTGAACATTTCACTACCTTAAAATAAGGTGTTATCTTTTTGCAACATATTCCTGATTGAGGGTTTAAGTATTTATGCCACTTAGCACCAGCGATGTCAAACTTAAGGGCTGAAGAAGAAATATTAGAAGAGATCAAAGTTGTTCCTTCTATATTTGAGATAAAACTATTAATGAAGCTGTTGCACTTTTAAAAGATCACTGCTTTATTTCCAACATCCCCCTGAAAATCCCAAAAATAACAAAAGGTAGGCTTTTTGCATAATTAATATGTTACATTCTCACACGCATGATTCATAAATATGATTCACTTGTGTGCATATATATATATATACACACACACAAACACACATATATATATATAAGAATTTTGCTGCAAGCATGTAAAGCCTAAGTACATAACGGTTTGTAAAATGGAAAATCTTATAAGACTATAAATTTTTAGTTTGTGGGCAGCTGTATTTAGTTTGCTGCCTCTGAGCACAGCCCCCTCCTCTCTCCAAATCTCACAGTTAAAATGATGTTCAGTCAACGTTGCTCACCATTTTTTTACCAACATCTTTTAGTAAAATACTCAAACAGAGCTGAGAAATATAACAAAGAAAAATCCAATCCTTCCTGGTATGCATCTATCACAACTTCAATACCTGCAAACACAACTGGCTGCATCTCAATCTGAATAACATCACTGAAAGTTGAATCATTCATTCACTGGTCTCCATCACTGTGTTTCACTCAGAGCTAAGGTCAGACTGCAGTTGTGCACTTCATACACAGGTAGTCTCATCCCATTCCTCTCAGAGGAGCCTCTTCTGACAGAAACTGAGGACACCAGGACTCTCCTCTAAACCAGTAAGAAATAGGATGTAACAACTGGTTAAGCCTAAACACTGTCTTTGTATTCTCAATTTAAGTGAACCACAAATTTAGCTTTTCAATTTTTTCACTCTATATTTGGCTGCAAATCTGAATATTAGAGCTTTAATTTGTATATCAACCGACTGCAGCAAGAATTCAGTTAAGGAGAACTTCCCTTAGGCTACATGAGAAAAACCTACAACATTAATTTTTTCTTAAAACAGAAGTTCACACTCCACATATGTTTTCTTTCCAAGAACTGCTAAGAAGCAAAGACAGAGGCTTAAGCTACTTCCATTCAATAGAGTTCTCTGTCAGTGTTGGGGCTTTTCCCCCTATCCTACACTGAGATGCTTAGTCTGGTCTAGTTAACAATCTTTAGATTTGCTTTTCATATATCCCAAATGAATGTTTTAAAAATTTAGCCTTTCAAATATTTTAGAAACTACTATCAAATCCACTGCATTAGTGCAAAATAACATTCTCCAAAAGGTAATATTTAATGAACAACCTTTTAAATTGAAACTAGCCAGTTTTTCCATATAACCATCCTGTAGATCCATATAACTGTCCTTGTGGGCAAATTTTGTACTTGTAAAAATGCCAAAGTCTACAAAAAGATTTTTAGTTTTATGTTTCTGTTGGTGGTTGTTTCAAAATTTTGTTTTGTATTTGAATGGAACTCACAATTGGTAACAAATATAGCTATTTTTAGCAACAGCCCAAGCTGGTTTGCAATTAATCAGAATGCAGCGGCAAGACCTATAAATGAGTCCCATTTCCAAAATCCTCTGCAAACAAAACAGGATTTGCATGTCACGCTATTGGCACTACAAAAGCACTTGGAAGTCCTGTGTCTGTAAGCATTATAGCCCCATCTACTCTTGGGAACTTTAGAACAAATTGTTAAACTGCTGGTCTACCTTAGCAGTGGGAAAAAGGGCAGACAAGGCTCTAGTGTTTTCCTAACACAGCCTAAGGTTTTTACCTACTCTTGCATGTTAGCAGCTCTATCAGGAATACCTGAACAAAAGAAAAGCCAAGCAGAGCAATCAGTTGAGCACTGCTCTTACAAAGCCTTTTACCAAAGCTACCATAAGAGTGTGAAACAGAGCATGAAGGCAGCATTGCAACAGCAGGTCCAAAGCTACTGTACAGCCAACCTTTCCTGAGACTCCCTGGTTTTGGTTGTGGCCACTGGAAATTCTTGTGGCAGAGCAAGGTTTAAAGGAAATGGTATTCTGGACAAAGGAGCATGCTGCTTTCTTAAAGTCAGTACTGAGGTTCAGTAAGACTGGGGACAATGACACTTGAAATCCAAGATCTTTTACTTTTTAATAAAAGATGTCTTTACTTTTTAATAAGTGAGGAAACAGATCTCTCTAACAACTGAGTGCCTCAGGTAGGAGATAAGAGTATGGTTTCTAATGTGATTAAAGGGAATTATAAATTGGAATAAAGGAGAAAGAGAAAAAAAAAGGTTATCTACACTGTTTTTTCCCTCTAGCAGTGAAGACTTACTGAAGAGTACAGCATGTGTCTGAGTACTATAGCTAGTAAACCTGAAACAAAGCAATTTTAAGAAAGCATAATAAATATGTTGTGTGAAGTTTCATTCTAAAATTATAATCAAATGAAGATTATTATACCAAAATCAAAATCTGAAGTGGGGTGAATTAAGCAGTCTAAGAAAGCATTAGGGGCAAAATCAAAAGGTTATAAATCATAAGTGGACAGGAAAGATATGACCTACAGTCCGTGTGTGTTTCTATCACTGCAATGCTCTTGGGCCCAAACTGACTTATAAGCTGGATGACCAAACCATTGTGCAAGTGCAGGAGGCACATCACTGGCCAAGAGGGACCTTCAGCTCTGCAGCTAAGGAACAAACCTGCTTTTGGTGGCTGGGGAAGGAACACAATTGTAAAAAAGGGGAAGAGATGTTGGAGATAGTGGGGAAGCAGCCGTCTTGTTGCTTTACATATATTTTAACCTAGTTTCAACAGTATGCAAATCTTTTCTCTCCTAATTCATATTAAACATTGCCATTCTTCTACTTATACTGCATTTTGCACATTTCTATTTTAATGTGGGACTGAAAAACAAAAGTGATTTCAGAAATGTTGCTTAAAGTGATTGTATTGTAATTGCAAATTCTTTTTTTTTTAGTACTATACAGCTACTGCCATTACCATCGAGAAACCTGAATCTGCAAGTGGAGTTATAAACTGAACCATAAGAGAAACTGACTCTTTCAGCTTTGGTAAAAATATTTAGAATTAAAATTTCTTTCAAAGCTGGAAAGCAGATTTGAAGAGAAGGACCTCAAGTTTCATTTTCACCAAGCTTAACACAAGCCAAAAACATGCCCTTGAGACAAAGGAGGCCAACAATTACACCAGCAGGTCACAGAGGCCGATCCTCTGTCTCTACTCAGCCCTACAGAGGCCACACCTGGAGAGCTCTGTCCCGTGTTGGGCTTTCCAGTACACAAGAGACAGACCCTGGAGTGGGTCGAGCAGAGTGCAACAAAAATGATTAAGAGGCAGAAGCATCCATCATATGGGGGAAGGCTGAGAGAGCTGGGACATCTCAGGCAGAAGAAGAAAAGCCTTGTGGGTATCAGTGTACGCAAACAGCTCAAGGCAGGATAGACAGTGCAAAGAGGAGAGACAGAGGCTCTTTTCAGTGGTGCCCAGTGACAATGAACACAAACTGAAACACAGGAAGTTCCATTTCAACATAAGCAATCACTTCTTTGCTGGGAGGGTACCTGAGTACTGACACAGGTTATCCAGAGAAATTGTGGAGTCTCCATCCTTGGAGAATTCCAAAATCCACCTGGACACAGTCCTGGGTGAGCAGATTTAGGTGACCCTTCCTTGAGCAGCCGTGAAGATGACAACCAGAGATGCCCTCCAATCTCAATTATTCTTTCTTTTCTTTAGTATCACATTTCAAAGCACACTAATTTCACTAAAATACAACTTCATAAATACAATCCACGAATATATGGGTTAATTTAGAAGAATTCATGATTCTTTGAAACAAGAGTTGTCACTGTGCAAACTGCTATTTAAACACTTCTGACAAGGCTAAGGTGAAAAAAAAAAAGGCATTCTGAAAAATCATGACACACTCTGCTATGAAATTGCACTATCTTTGCTGGCACCCACGTAACAGCTCCAGGCTGGTCTCCAAATGTGAAATGGTCATGGATCAAGG